GCTAATGAAATTTAATTGACATTATAAATAGATTTATGTATTGAAGTTGTTGATTAATATTAATTAAAATATGGCTTGGACATAAACCTTTGTTTAAAATTCCAAATAGGTAGGCACCTATTATTTTCAAAAAAGTTATATCGATTGTACATCGAGCATAGCCATACACATTTTGAATACGTCTTACTCCACTTCACATCCGAAGATGATTTTACAACCATTTACACGGTAGTATAAAGAATAATAAAATAAATATCCTACCAGAGTATAGGTACAGCTAGGTGGTGTTTTTATAACGGTAAAAACTGAAGAAATTAATGGACGTTTTTCGTTATTGGAATATATTTATATCGTGCACACTGTAAAATAGGTATAGGTACTATAATATGCAATATGATGAAAACTATCACTCATCCAATCGAATGACGTCAATAAACTTAAAACAATTAGGGCCCGTATAACTGCATAAAAATATTATCAAAGAAAAAAATCATTGAGAAAAAAGCGTCTTGAAATATAAATATCAATAAAACTGGCAAATGCATATTTTCATCTTCAGTAGAAATTATACAATATTTTGGTGCTTCTTATATAATAGCGAACATACATCATATTATGCTATTATACAATAACTTAAAATTTAAATACACAATACAATAATTTGAGTATTATTTCGAATAATAATTGCATGGAACTATAATATTTTTTTACGTAATAATTAATTTTCAAATCATAGCTTTGGAAATACGAGGATGTCATTATGTCATTATGCTATGAAAGTCATTATGCAAAATCTTAATTGAAAAAAATGTAATTTCCCATACTATTTTTTTATAAAGTTTACAAACATTTTAACTTCAGCTTTAAAAATGTATTGACTTCCGTAGTTCCATATCATATTTTTTATAATAATTTGTGTCTTAAATCAAATTATAAATGTTTTGCATTAAAAGTGAGTAAAAAAATAAATCTAAATTTAAATTGAAACTTTCTCATTGCATAAATTCAGTTATTCCGATATTCGTGGAAAATTTAACTGGGTAGTGATTTCTGAAGACAAGACGTTAATTTTATAAAAATGTTTTTCTATTTATTTATATAATTGTTTCGATACACCAAGTAATTTTACAATGTTAATAAAAATGGTTAGTTACCTACTTAATATTATAGGTATATCCCGAAATGTAAAATCGTAATAGTTTATTATTTATAAATGATTTGCGTATTGAATTTATAAATCTCTTCAGTAGTTTATTAATTGAGACCTTGTTTTATTGGTGACGAATTATCACTGATAAGATAAGGTACTTTCAATGACTGCGTCCTATTCTCACACCCATTTTTCAAAAATCAAATGACTGAATTATGAGCATTTCAATGCAGTGGCTTCATTACTCACCGAATTTTTATTTTAACTAGTGTCATTGGCCATCTCGGCCGAAGTCTGATGTAAAAACAAATCATCGGAAGATACGCAAATAAACGCGATTAATTAGGAATATTAATTATTATAACATGAAATATGTTACGTTCATTTATGGTGCACCTACCATAGTATAGAGTGCCGTTTTAATGTTTAATATTATATGTGTTTAGTAAATAGAGCAAAATGTCGAGTGCTATTGTTAGTTGCCACTCCGACAAGTAATCTGTCAACGCGTTTTTTTTTTTTTGCTTATGTATTATAATAAATTGTTGATTACCTCAGGGCAAAATATGACACAACAGCGTTCGGTGTAAACAAATTCAGTATGCTTTATGTATGACGGATTTATCCTTCCGAAGATAATAGTTATATAATCCAAGATAATATAATATTTTGTTTTCTATTTAATTATCATTTTCTCAATTTTTAAAACATTTGATATTAATAATTTCAACCCTGTTCCAAAATAGATAGTAGTAATAATTTATTATTCAAAGGTTCAATTAAAATATAATATAAAAATATTTTCAACATAATTTTAAATGCCATTGCCCGATGATTGATAATCGCAAAATTATATAGAGAAACTCTTTCGAGCGGTTCTAATTTGTAAGGGTTGTATGTGTATAATAAATTACAAAAAAGGCAAAATCAAGCCCATATTCAAGGGGAAGTTTTTAGGGTTCCGGAACAACCTCTGAAATTTTTCAACGTTGAAAAACAATTTTCGAAACCGACATCAATATTTTCAAATTAATGTATGGTAGTTACAATGTCTTGTTTTGATCTTTATTATTTAACCAAATGTCAAATATTAAATTAAGCATTACTTTGTTAATTAATTTGAATTTTTTTTAGTTAACAATTCATGAGTATCCCTCATATTTGTTTCTGTACGTTTTCATAGTTGACTATTTAGTAGTTGCAATGTAATATATTTAGTAATAATATGTCTAGTAGTATCAATGTATAAGTGCCAGTGTAACACGACTTATAATTATCAACATTAATTATATTGTGTACCAACGTGGTAACAATAAATCTTATCACCGCGGTATTATAAAACAAAAAGTTCCTGCTGGAAAATGTTATAAATAAACCAAACTTTTAAAAGGCCATACATTATATAATTATATTAAATTGTCTACATAATGTAATAGAAGATAATTTGTATGGTTACATATTATACTATATTATTATGGTGTAGTTTTAAAAACAACCATTTATCAAAAACTTTACATCCGACAGTAATTATTACGTATCTCATCAATAGGCAATAACAATAAATAAAAGAATAGCATTTTATAGGCCCAATTCTAGTTTTTTTTTTTTTTAGACGCCAAATTAAGAGCACTTCAATGACATTTCAGTACATGAACTATATTTTAAGAATTTCTCTATTATGTGAGATATCATACAGTTTAATATAGTTGTAACTTAAAAGTCATCTTATTTAACATATTTTACTTATTTATTCAATGATAATTATAATACATTGATAATAGTATAAAAAAGCAAAATGATCTACTATACATCTTTGTTTTGTTTTTTTTTTTTTTGGTTCATAAGTTTTAGTTCTATCTGTTACATAAAAAAAAGAACAATAAGAACAATCGATGGTATATAATATAAGATAAAATAAATAAAAATAAAAAGGCAGATTAGACAAACTGCAGAAGCCTCCCAGCGGTGGTACTATGACGTAGTAAAGAATTTTGTTAGGTTAGCTGGTCACGACACTACTGTCTTTTGAGTCGTTTAATCGGAAACACAACATCTTTAAATGTTTTTTTTTTTAATTATTAGTTACGTTTTGTCAGTTTGACCTAAGAAATAACTGGAAAAGTAAAATGAAGCAAATTTTTAAAAATATTTAATCCACGTTAACACAAAATATCGTTTGATGTAATTTGAAGTAACAGTATTTTTTAAATTCAAGTTATTTTTTTAAATATGAGCGACGACTATTTCAGAACAACGCGCCTTTCTCCTGTAAGTATTATGAGGCTAATACAAATTTTTGATTATTTTAGTTATCAACTGTGACCAGATTTGTATGATTTTTTTTCGAGGTAATTAACGCGCCTTTGTTTGGGTGAGCTATCTTGACGTTTCCCTGTTCGATGAAAAACTGAATATACCCATAACTTAATTTATTGCATAAAAATGCGTATTTCGAGATTAATGAACATTTCGTCCAAATGAAACTTAACATCATTTATTATTTTCATATTTGAAATTATTTTCAAAAAATCATTAAGAACAAAATAAACGCAAATTGGTAGATATTCGGTGTTTGGATAACCAAAAACGTGAATTTGGTGGTATGAATTACGTACCAACCGTTTATCTAAGATGTATCATGCATCTGAATTTGTCTTGAGATCTGTGGTGGTCACGGTAAGAAACATTTTAACTCCAAAAGTATATATTTTAAAAATACATTATATTGTGTGCACAGAGTCCATATTTACTATTTTCACGTACAATAAATGTATCTGTGCGCTGAGTTAAATTAATGTACATGAATAACTTGACGAAAAAAGACAAGAATAGGTGAAAGTTCCTTCTTTAGAAACCTCCCATGACATACGGATAAAATATAACAACAGTTTTAAAGTATTAAACTATTGTATAAGTACTGTTAACTGCTGTTCGATACGATTATTTAGAAACGTTATAAATTTTTGATTATTTGTCTATTCATTTAAACTTGTATTTCTTTTATTAATACGTCTATCGTTAGTTGTTACTAGTATAAATTGAATATGCCCAAGATAAGTTCAACTTTAAGGATTTCATTAAGCCAATGGACATTTTAACAAATACAACCGTCAACCATGTATTAATTATGATGTTATTAAAAATTTATCTAATATTAACTGTTTGAACTTAAAATATATAATATATACAAATCATTAAGATTACATATTATGTTTTTCCAGCATTTTTTATTTTTATTTCTGATACATCATAATTCTTATGAATTTTCAAAAAATTAAAAAAACCCATTTTTAACATTTTTAGGAACATAAATGTCCAGTCTCAATTTATCAATACGGATTCATAGGATTTATGTATAATACTATGGTTATCAATTTACAGTGAAATAGGTAGTTTTTCTACTATCACCAGTATTAATAAGAATTTAGTAATGTATACAGCTTACAACATTCGAAATGAAATGGTGTGGTTTTATTTTGCATTGTTTTGCATGGTTTTGCATATCTTGGCCAAAAACTAGCATAACTTTGCATGTTTGTCTGTTATATCCTATAATCGGAGATAATAATGTGTACGTATTTTACATGTTTGTAAATACACTAAATTATGATATGAAGAAGAGGATTTAAATTTTAAACCAACTTGTTTCACGCGAACTGTTTGGTAGTGGAAGAATTTAAAAGTTGTGATGCTTACTTATAAGTACCATCGATTTATATTAGTGCTTGCACGGCAAACAAATTGAAATATTAAAATAATGAATAAATTAAGCAATATATACATAAAAGGATTGTTGATTTGATTTGATTTTTTTTTATAAAAATATGGAAGACAGGACAATAATAAGGAATTGGTTTATTTATTTAATATTTATTTTTACGTTTAATGTATTTAAAAATACCGTAGTCAAGGTTAAATGTAAAAAATGTTTTGAACACGTTAGTGTTGCCCAGGTTAATCCACCATACTTTTAAATAAAATTTAAATACACATTTAAATAAATTACATTTTAGCTTTCCTTAGTATAGTCTTTCAAATAGTTCTACTGTGCAAATGAAAATCGACTACTAGCCGTGATGGTTTTTGTAATTTAACTGTTGTACGATAAATACATACTTTCGTAGATTCCGAGTTGATTGTCTAACTTACCACAATTTCAAAGAACTAAACAACGACAGTTTAGAATTATAGCGCTTAAAATGATGTAGACGTATGTAAAACTAATTTTAAGACACATAAATCTTGGATAATTGTTTGAAAATATTAATCATTAAAATATTTCTTGTGACATTTGTGTAAAATAAATATTGATAAAATAATGATTACAGTTTTAATTTATTGTTGATCGAAAAATACATAAGTAAGTACAAAAGGGATAATAAGTTGTAAAAAAAAATTGTTGGTTTTTGTAAAAATGTCTGATTATTTTTTGTTTTTCTGATCAGACTGATTATCTAAATCTTGCTTTTTCTTTACCTCCTGGTAAGTGGGTGGACTATCGGGGCCATTCTTCCATATATTGGGATTGCGCATGTCCGCAAAACCATTCCTCGAAACCTGCGGATTGCGCATGTCTGCAAAACCATTCTTCCATATATTAGGATTGCGCATGTCCGCAAAACCATTTCTTGAAATATTCGGATTGCGCATGTCCGCAAAACCATTCTTCGAAATGTTGGGATCTCGCATATCCGCAAATTTATCTTGAGATGAATTTCTGCGATCCATAATACAAAACTAAAATACAGTACAAATTGTAATTATAGCAAAATCAATGCAGCCACTAAAATATAATAAAAATAATTTAGAAATATGATGGATTTAATTATTTGTAATGCCAGCAATAACCCAAATACTATTGATTTTATATGTATTATTTAAATCTATTTTATACACATTTTAAAAACAACAATTACAATTATAATACCCACAGACAATATCTGGCAAAATCACTGGTCAAACCGGGACACGCAATCAGGACAAATAAAATATAAAATCATGGCAACCAACCATTTAAAACGTCAGAAAATCATTCTAATAAATCAATAATTGAGAATCAGCCACACTAGACTTAAAAATATACATCTCAAATCAACCAACAGAATGCACTTCGCGTAGAGTGGTTCTGACGGTGAAGCATAACTTAATGACCGAATTCAGCAAAAATCTAATCTCCATTAATCTATATTTTATAATATGCATTTAACATATTATCACAAGAAAAGCTAATGCTGTCAAAACTTAAGGTTATTAATAAAAATGTAAATCTAAAACGATTATTATTATCATACCAACATACCCAATATTATCACTTTTTTCCAACAATAATTAAAAATCAATTTAAGGGTATGATTATCACATAATAAATTTAAAAAACAGCTAAAAACTGTAAACAGTGTTACCAAACTAATACAAAAAAGTATTGCAATAACTTACTTACGAAAATTACTTTACGCGACTTGTAATGTGAGACAGAAAACAGAAATGAACTGCAATTTCAACCAGAGTGGAGACGAAAACGATGTTCAATCGGACTTGGAAACATTGACGACCAACTGAGTCCCTACATTCCTATTTAATCAAAATAATTTACTCCCTCTCAATATTAAATATTTATTGACTCAAAATTATTATCATAGCTATATGTTTATACGCTACTGTTGATGAGTGGCATTCATTTGTTTTTATCTTTGTTTATGTTTGTTATTTTAATTTTGTGTACTATGAGTTGACCCAGGTATGCGATTCGTAATCGCGTGCGATTGAGTCACGCCCGTCTTTTTGGATTGAAAATAGTGCGTTGCCGCGTTGGTATGTCGAGTGCTCTATGAACTCATTAATGATCATATACCCACAAGACGTAACAACACAGTGTTTGAAAGGTGATAAATTTTACTTAGTTTTGTCGGAAACAAATACTTAACATTGTAATTTTTTTTCGAAATTATATTCAATTTAATATTTTTAAAAAGCTCTTTTAGTATACTCTTTTAGTAATGCTCGCTTATTAATACCATTTTCAGAAATATGTTTCCAACAAGAAGGGAGAAAAAATGATAACCTATCCAACAGTGTATTATACAAGCAATACATACATAGTTTAGTAATTATAAATTAACGACTATTTTTTGTTTATGTAATGATATAGAAATAATAATCCGAGTTAGTTGTCGCGGTATATGTCTACGGTATTGTATTTGTATTGTATTTAAAGTAATTTATTTTACTGTTAATATTACGATAGTTTGATTTAATAATCATAACCATGCCGCAGCGGTTGCCACTAACAAAACACGGCTCCGACAGATTTCGGCGATGGCCGCAGAGCAAACTGTTTCGTTGCTTCGACGTAAGCGGCTGTGGTTTCGGCGATTGAGTCCAGGGTGAACCCTTTCTTCTGCTGTGGCGCCGTGGCGGTGGTGACAGAACAACCTGTTCCATCGCTACAACATGTTGCGTCGGATCAAACCAGCCTGTCGCTATACAACAGGTTGTGGTGGGTCGAAAAACGATTCTGTCTCAAAAAAACTGAGGCGGAGAAGTAGACGATGCCACAACATAATGTTCATTCAGCTGCGGTAGTGGATATGTAAACTTCGACACGATCACAAGGCACTGAAACGGCGGCGGAGGTAGTGGGTCAAACCATGCCGGGCCCACATAATATGTCAGTATCAGTTCCAGACTTAAGACTTTAATAATTATTCAACCCTTATTTACTTCGATGCTTTTGACCTACTTGTTGATCAGTGACACGGGCGACGAACAAAGCACCATCAGAGTCTCAGAAGTCAGAGGTATTTCAACCACTAAAAATGAATTGTTGAACATTTTTTTCCGCGACTCTGAGAACTATGATTAGGACTATTAAGAAGTTAAAGTAGAACCCGCTGTGGCTGAACACTGCGTCTCTCGCCATCAATGTAATATTAAACAAAAAATACACCTAATAATACGTTTTATTTGTGTTTAAACATTAAAAAGTATAATTCAATGTACTATAATGCTTAAACCATAAAAATGTTAAAGAATATTGTTTAGAAATATAAGAAAGGAAAAAATGCTCCAAACAAATAATACAAATTTAAAATTTATTTATATTTTATCAAAATATAAAATGTTTATAAGTCCATTGTACGTACTCTTCATTTTTTTGGATAAAGTTCGTTGTTAGGATTCATCTGCATTGAACGGTTATCATTATCGGGCTTGTCACCGGTTCCCTGGTATGCATGTGGTCTCCCCGGACCAGTTTTAGGGTGATCTTTATTACATTGATCTGTTTTATTTCTATCTTCAGCTGTTTGGCGATCCATCTCTGAAACAGTTGAAACCCACTATTTGTAAATTGAAATAATATAGATATTATATTAGAATTATTAAATTATTTTACTGTCAATTGAAAAAGGATAAACAATTAAAATAATATTATACATAATATTTTAAAACCAATACCACGATAAAATTAAAGTAAATTTAATATAATAAGCTGAATTTGCATGTACCGCGTGAATAATATAACTGTTTGTAATATGATCGATGTAAATATCTAAATGCCTACACTATTAATAATACAATTAGTAATAGGACTTATTTTGGAAAACATTGATTAAAATTTTTTTTTTTTTTTTTTTTTTTGAAAATATATTGACATAACGCTTAACACTTTTTTACATACAAAAAAACACCGGACATGCGAGGTTTAACCATGGCGTTCAATAAGCCGCGGCGTCGAGTATATCAACTAGCACTAGTAATGACTGACTTGCTAGACATTTCAACACGGCCTTCGACTTTACTTTTAACTTTTACGACGGACCGAAATATAATATTTTAATCTACTCTGTATATATTATATAAATAATTATAATAGTGCTTGAATTGTGGGGGGGGGGGAAATGGAGTCCTCGTCAGACTTAAAAATATACCTATACGGCTATGTCTCGTGGAAAGCCAACCAACAGAATGCACTTTGTGTGAAATTGTGAAACTGACAGAGAAACATATAACAATATTATGATGAATGAACTCGGGCACAGGAGAAAATCTTATCTCCCTGAACTATCTTGTATGTGTTTGCAAAATATCTTACTGACATTATATTATCATGTTGGTCATCAACAAAGAAAAACTAAATTAAAAACAACTATATAAACTGTTATCAAACTAATAAAAAAATATTGCAATAACTTACTTATGAAAATGACTTCACGTGACTTGTAACCGCGAGACTGAAAACAGAAAACTACAATTTCAACAACAGCAGAAACGACGATAATTTATCGGACTCAGAAAACATTGACGACTAACAGGGTCTCTGCACACGTATTTATGGCAAAATAATTTACTCCCCCTTAAAATTAAATATTTGTTAACTCAAAATTATTATCATTGATATATATGTATATGTGTTATTGTCGATGTGTAGCATTCGCTTGTGTTTATTTTTATATATGTATTTTATTTTCATTTTGTGTACAGAGTACCACGAGTGTGTTCCGTAAAAATGGCATACTTTGTCACACTCCTCTTTTTGTTCAAAAAATGTTAAATAGTTCGTTCGCGCCCATTTAAAGTACTACAAAAATGATCATAGACCAATAATTATAAATTAGACACTGTTAGAAAGATGATTACTTTTACTGAGTTTATTTAATTGGAATCAGATATTTAAAATTGTAATAATTTTTCTAAATTATTTACAAATTAATATTTATACAACGCTCTTTTGTCATAGGTACCCGTGCCGCAATGTTCTCTTGTGAATATTATTTTCAGAAATCTGTTTTCTACAAAATGTAGCGAAAGTCATAACCTTTCCAACAGCGCCCACAAGCAGTATACATATAGTTTTGTATCAATTAATTAACGATTGTTATAATTAATAATGCGAGTTAATTGGGTGATATTATATTATTACAGTAGCCAATAGGTATGGTACTCATGTCAATATTGGAAGTATACGTATTGTCCAAATTAATTGTTCATTATTATTTGTAATTTGTTTCATTTATATAATATAATATTTGTATTTAAATTTTAAAAGGCGAGTGTTGGCGAGTGGGCAGTATCGTTCTGATTTACAGTTGTAGGTGTCGAGTGGGTCACTGTAATGGATGTGTAATTTAAATTCAATAGTATATCTTTTTATACTTAAAAAAAGAAACGCGGAGACGATCTTTCAGCCTATGACAACTGTATTTCGCATGATATGTTTTTTGTTATTGTCACTTGTCTTTATGTTATATAACAGAGGTATTCGAACTTTTTCACCTTTAAGTCTTCACAAAATTTTGAAGGCTCCCAAATTATAAATGACAAAAAAATCAATGTTTATATGATTGCAATTTATATTTTATAATTTATTTACCATATTACATGTGGAAAATAAATTAAAGCTATGTTTAGCGAATGATTGTTGTAGACAATTCAAACGGTGTGCCTCAATGATATTAGCAAACGTTTTTCGTAAAAATATTTACTGGTTTTCAATTATACTACCCGGCTCCCTACGACACTCCCTCGGCGCCCCTGGGAGCCGAAACGCACAGTTTGAAATGTTTGAATACCTCTGTTATATAATATAATGAACAATATTAACATTGTTGTTAATCACGTTATACGCTCGAAACGACCAAAATAATAAACACACGTCCACACGCAGCCAGTTATCATTGTTTTTCGTAAGACTGTCGGTGTACGATAAATTAATAATTACAAATACAAAAATATTTAAGAACTTTTTCCAACGAATATTCGAAAGAAATTTAATATTGCCAAAAAAACGAATTGGTAATCAAATAATACTGCCGAGTTGACAATCGGGAACGTATGGTTTTTCCGCCGAAAGACGTTCGCGACGTCCGGCGATGCGTTTATTTATATAAAAATATAATTTTTATTGAATTTACCATAATAATATTGTATGAATGGTAAAACAGTAGTTTTAAGACTTTGCCGGTTGTTTACGCTTTTTTAGACAAAAATGTTAATACACTGTCGAATGTCGATGGACACGTCTGTGTACTTATGTCTATAGTGCAGTATTTTATTTTATCAAAAGTCGTATTGCATAATTTAATGCAATATTTATTTGCCGATTTAGGTACACATTACACATAATAAATAATATCTTGTATACAACACTCCCTGTATTGGGAGAGTAGAATTAGAGAGTAGAGAGTTCAGTTTATAAGTTAGGTGTACATGTTATTATTTCTAAACATGTCAAAAAATGTACTTTAACAGAAGAAATAGAATATTAATAAAGATATTATATTAATATTTGTTCATATATTGACAAAGTCTAGATTACACAAAAAATAATGTTATTCCTTAACATTTTTCAAGTTAGATATATTAATGTCCAATTTTTCACAAAAATTTGACCTTACGATTAATCTACATTGCGAACCAAAAGTTGTAACGCTACTTGACACAATACTTAATATGTTGCTTTATATCTGGTATTATAATTATGCTTCACATTGGTCAATAGATGCTTATGTTTGTGTAACAATAATAACACATGAGTAAAAAATATTTTATCAAAGTAGTGTACATCAAGTTCATTAAAAATAACTAATAAGCTTAGTACTAAAGGACTTAGGTTTGCTCAATAAAAGTTTAATAATACTATTAAAGTTATTCAAGGTGTGTATTGTAAGCACAATCCCAAAACATTATTCCACGACTAACAATAGATTGCACCAAAGCAATGCAAATGATTCTCTTCATTTTTATATTTAAGTACCGTTTAACATACTTGAAAAAAATATAAAAATGTACGTAAATAAAATTGGAGATCAAATTATTAATACATGCGCTCATTTCAATTTATGATCTAATGTAATAATCAGATATTTATATTTTTCCACTTTTTCCAAAATATTACATTTTTCAATTTATGTTGTCCCCACAGCTAAAGTTACAATCATAAAGAAGTAACTTTAGCTTAAAGTTATGATTTAAAGGGTGCTCTTTAATTTTAAAAATCATATAACGTAGGATCGATTTCGATGGGAATATCATAATATTGCGCGATAAGCCGTTATGAAAATCCGTAAAAAAAATTATAATATGCCCGTCAATCGTCGATTACAATAGCATTATGTGTATAATGTATAGTATTATTAAATTATGCAAAGTTTTAATCGTGGTCTTATCGTAATTTAGACAACGCGGGACCGAAGTACAATATTTAAATAGACTGTAATCCTTCACGATGAGCGCAACACGGTCGTTTATTTTCTTTGTAACAATACAATAATTGAGGCACAACATTGGCGAATGATAAATAAAATATGACACAAAATTATTAGAAAGATCGCCGTGGGAATAATAATCGTGTTCAGCTGTCGTCTGCATCATGATATAAATAACTTTTGTAAATATAAACAACCTCTGTCGGACCCGGATTAACTATTATGTGTACCGATATTATGACCATTTGTGGAGTATTCAAGCCGATCAAATATTCCATTTTGTTGGCGATTTCGAACCAATAGTACTATAATACCTCGTGTAAACCTATGGAACATAATTGCTATTTGTTACGATCGTCGGCAGTATTATTTTTACATTTCGTTGTCGACACACACTAATCGGGAATTGATAGTGTTATAGTTTTTAAATACTTAAGGAATTCATTGTATTAATCTGATATCGTCGGGCGTGGTCCTGTACTCCTGTTGGTTCCGAATATAAAATTATAATATAAACACATGACTACCACGGTTAAAATTGTACACAATCATTGTGTATTTGGTTTTTTTTATCGCTCAAACCACGTCCGTTGACTGTAGCTGTTGTCCCAAAACGTTGGAACTATTGTCGCCAATTATAGTGGATTTTATTTGTTACAGCTTTCCAAATAAGTGTATTTCTAATATTTTCTATTGTGGAATTAATAATATTTTAGTAAAACGAAAACAAAATAATAAATAGAATTTGAAAGAGCAATAAAAAATAATAACAGCCACGCTTATCGGTAGGCGCCGATTCATACTGTACGTTTCACTGTTTGCACTACAAACCTCTTTCGCAGAAAATATGGGCTAGTAGCAGAGAGAGATAGAGTGTGAGAGAGAGAGAGAGAGAGATCCTGAGGCCAACACTATCTGAAAAAGATGCATAATATTATACGACTAAATTCGACTGTACCGGGTAATAGAAAAAGGGAGAGAGAGAGAGAGAGAGAGAGAAGTTTAACAACGGAGATAACAACTTTTTTCGTAAAAATATGTCGTCATATTTATATTTATGTTATTATGCACAGATATTCACTGTCCCTTTCTAGAAATGTCAGATGACCCAGGGCAAAGCATGAGGTATGACTGCATGAGGAGCAGTTCAAAATATTATGTTATTGTATCATAGCAATAATGTGTCTATGATTCACACCGTTTTGGGTATTATAGCATTTGGTTTGACGAGACTTTTCATCGTCGGAGTAAACGTCGACTTACTCCAAATCGGTTGTTCTTCATAAATAATATTTATGAAATTATTTACGACCATGCTTCATGAATATTCGTATGCTCGACACGCTCCAAAGCATTGTAAGTGGTCGGCCGAATGCCGAGTGCACTTGCCTATGTTTAATAACGTTATGGTTGTCGTGTAAGTCAATATTGAAGAAAACAGTCGTGACAAATCGCTCAAGATTAAGCCAACGAGATCAGTCGAGTTTAATCGCTGGCTTGTAAGTGGGGTGAACACTAAATGTGTACAAATTCGGAAAACGATCGCACAAATTCATAATAATCGCACACCTATACTAAAATATTAACAAAAAAAAAAAATGATCAAAATCGTGCGTGGGAATGCTCGGTAACGTATACGTACACTATAATTGACTAAAATACCAAATTTGCCAGTACATGAAACATTACAAAACGATAAACTAAAAAATACTTGTTGTAAATCTATATGATAGAAAATGGTGGCCAGGGTGATGATAGCGAATAATATTGTTCGTACGACGGAAATGAAATAAATCGCGAGAACTATTCGTTTGGGACTATTATCGTATGACTTTTCCGATCATTTGAATATTCGTCAAACACACAAGTCACGGGAACCCGGAATAATGTAAATCGAAATAGTCGTGCACGTTACGCGTGGCTGTGAAAAGTGCCCAAAGTTAATGTAAATTGAAACACGTGGCTGTAAAACGGCGGGCCTAAATGCCAACAATAAAATGTATATATATATATATCAACGGCAGATGCGAACAAAGCCTATTATGCATTTATACCATATATATTATAATATTATACTGTATTACACGTGCTGTGTAGTGTTCGATTTACACAGAGTCCTCACCCCCCCCCTACCCCCAAACTCGAACTATAGGTTGGACTTTTGCGAAAAACGTCTCAATTCTACTCGGCCGGAATACGTAGGTATAGGCAACCCAATTTCGCACACGTTTTTAAAAGCACGCACAAAAACATGTTTTCTCAAATGATAAATATTTAATGTGTGTGTGTGTGTGTGTGTGTGTGTGTGTGTGTGTGTGTTGCTGTAACGTACTTAATATCCATCTATGTGACGTATTATTGTATTATATGTAAATTACTCGAGTCCTATAAATCCCCTGTTATCACAAAAACACTTCGGTTGAAAATCGTACGAGCAATCGGATCAATAACAAAATAATAAATATTGTTGCCAGTACCCGGTTTATCCTATAGTTATTGCAGGAAATCAAATTAAACATAATTAAGTTGTGTGATGTTTTCCCATTATAAGCTATAATAGGGCATTAGTTTTGATCTTCAAATTACAAAGTATATTCATTCATTTGATATTTTGTATAGTATATTTATACGTTTGTATACATTTATTTATTTTTATTATCCAAGTATTTACCTGTATTTTGTTTTACTTGAAATTATTAATACAAGAATTGTTGACATTCGTATGATCGGTCCGGACAAGAAGAATAAAAATGCATTAGAAACTAGGAATATACCATGCTCGCAGAATGAGCTTTCCTAACTTGTTCGATTTATTTATATCCGTTAATTTATGTACAGGTACAAAGTATACTTACAAACTTGAAACCTCGATACACGCTGCTATATGTATAAGTTCTGTATCGGCATAATTATTTTTGTACATAACTAACACGCCACTAAATAAATGTAGTATATCGACCTTTTGAGCATACCCTGCTATTAAATTCGATTATAATTTATGATTTTAATTCCCAGAACCAAAATGTATACCACGCACTAATTAAATATTTCAATTACAATTGTACAAGTGAGCATATTAAATAGATACAACATTCTTGAATTTTCAATTTATGGACATTGGACTTAGGTACATGACAAACACATGTTATGACTGAACACTGTTGTAAGTCGCACAACAATATTGTGTATCTGTCGTTGTTGTACACTTTTGATTTTTGTCATTACATTTTATATACCTTCAAACCAAACACATTCGACAAAATAATTTCAACTACATGTGCTCATAATTACTTATTTTCGAACATAACTAAAATGTCACCAAAAATGTTAACTTTATTATTCGATAAATTTAGTAAACATTATTAAACTAATATAGTTACACCTGAATACATCTTCCTTGTATTAGAAAATATCATTGAGTATAGGAAAATGTATAATATTCGCATAGGCGGAAATGGGGGGGGGCTTGGGGGGACTTAGTCCCCCAAATATTGTAATAGCCCCCCCAAAATTTTGTCGTCTTTATGTGAAAATATATGATATATATATTTACTAATTGTACAGTACTTATTCGCGAATGTTCTCGTACGTTAGTGCTTATCGAGAACCTTCGAGAAACATTATATAATCGATAACGTCATAATATCTTTAAGATTATTCGAGAACAATCGAGAGCATTATCTCGCATCTATATATATCAGAAAAACTAAACCGTCAGTTACCAGTCCGCAGCATAGTCCCGCACGAAGTAACACGCGTCGCATTGTAAACAAGTCCGCCGCCGCCGCCGTCGCCGCTATACCTAGTGTGTTAATCTGTTTTAATAGTGGCTACTCCGTAATTATTTTATATTTTTATATCTCGTATTTTTAAAATGTTCTTTAACCGTTGGTGAGCCTTAATAATAAAATAATAATAAATAATAAAATGTCTAAAAGTACTACATATTATGATATTTTTAATGTAAATAAAAAACAAAATAATCTAACACACGAATCACCAAATGTTTTAAAAGACCATTATCAGGTATATACTATTTGAATAATATGCATGATATACATTTAAATAAATTGATTTACTCCAAAAAATATTTTCAGGACTTGTTGGACATATCTAAACAAGATTTAAGATCAGAAATGACAGTTGCCAAAAATTGTATTAAAAGTTCATGCGATAAAAATGATTTTAAACTTGAAGATATAAAAAAATATGTCTCAAAGCAAGTCTACCCAAATGTGTACAAATTGTTGCAAGTGGCGATCACTCTTCCAATTAGTTCATCAACATGTGAGCGTTCTTTTTCGGCAATGAGACGCTTAAAAACATGGTTAAGAACATCTATGCTTCAAAATCGTTTCAACACAATTTCAATACTTAATATTGAAAAGGATATTGTAAAGCATATTGACAATGACTCCATAATCAACAAATTTGCAAGAAAAAATAGAACAATTGTGTTACAATAATTTTAATAAACTTTATTCTTTTAATGGTCTTTTTTTGTTGTATTTATGTGAACTTATAGGCTGTTAAAATGCTTTCAGATTCAATTCAACAAAATATGCGACACAATGTGTTTCTTTGTTTTTCGATATCTATCAAATTATTTGAATGTAGTTTTTATTTTAGTTAAGCCCCCCCAGAAATTCTAATGGATTTCCGCCTATGAATATTCGTATATGTTGGTCCCCAAGAACAAGCCCGTAAATGAAAAACATTTCTGGAGATTCCATCATTTTTATAATAATATATAGATACTGGACACTCATCATTTTTACTTTCAAAAAATAAAAAAATTTTATTCTGGTTATTATTGCATTTACAAAACCATAAAATTATACTTAATATATTATAACTTAATAGTCGATAAACAATTTTCACAGATCACAAATGTTTCCATTTTTGAAAGAAATTCGGAAGCGGGGGCCTGTCGATACGTTAATTACAATGGTGTGTTATTTTATATTAGTTTTCATAATTATTTACCATTAAAACTGCATATCCATTTATGGTATAAAAATACTTACAGTATAATACATATTAATTATTATTTTTTTTTTTTTAAATAATATTATAATTTAGATGTCTGAAAATTGCAGTTGTTCTTTTAGATAAAAATGGTACTTACTGTCGATGGACATGTCTTCCAATAATAATCATAAATAATATTATTTTTATTATTTGTCTAGAACAATGATATAAAATCCAAAAATATGTCTGTCAAATGTCAATCTATTTATTAAATTTCAGTGTTTAACACGCATTGTTTTATCAATTATAATATACAATATATTAAAATGTTCCATAAAATCAATTTTATAATGTATATAATGCATGAATTATGTACATAGTAGATAATATATTTAGTGTACAAATATTTTTTTGTTTTTCGTAATTTTGACGACGAACCCTAAATACAATTTATCACTTGGCCATAATATTATAATATTCATAATGAATGTAACGATTGTTTATTATTTTTAATTTATTTTGAATCTACAACTGATTGAAAAAAAAATAAAATTAAAATAATAATCTTGTAATCAACATAATATTGTCGTCTGTCTATATTATGAAATAAAAATAATAATATTTGATGCATTAATTCGGGAGTATAATACCGAGTACTTTCTCTAAATTTAATCATTAATATTATATTGAAAAATGTTTTTATGCATATTTTAATAAATTATTATTTAGAGTTTCTAGTGCCTTCTAGGTTTACACTTTCACCACGTCTAATGCATATGATAATATGTAATTATGATAATAATCACTATACTATTATTATATTATAATATTATGTTCTTCAGATATTATACACCTTGATTTTTATTATTTTTTTTGATGATTTGTCATGACGTGCTTTTCATTCTATAGATTGTAAAATTAATTTTTTTTTTTAAATTGTGAATGTTTGATGAATTGAATGTGTTTTGGTGTCATTTGTAATTTGTTTTATTATATTTCAAATAAATTGTTCAATCAATTTATATACTAATACATAAACAAATAAATAATCTGTAATAATATACTAATTAAATGTTTAACAATTTTAGGATGTGAGATTTTTAGTTGGTGTAAGACACGGCGAGCAGAATAATAATAATGTACGAAACTACGAAATATAAAATTCAATATGGGTATTATGAAAACAATTCTGTCACCAACATAATAATTATTGTTTTCGTACCGATTATTTATAAACGGCAAGCGGGCCGGTCGCGATAAGAACTATGGTGCGGTATGGCTACAGTCGAGCGCGGGGTAGTGGTATGAACACTATTTTTGAACGCTGCCGCTATAGTCAGTTCAGCAGCACACGACGGCTGTTAAATCGTGTTTTTCTTACCGAAAACATGGTTTCGTACTTCAAGTTTTCCTCAGCCCTCATTGGTCGTAGAAACATGATTTTTTTCACCAAAATAAACGTGAGAAGTTCCTTTAGATTTTGTCGTGCCAGATTTTTGATATCTATTTTTGTCTATTTTATATAATTTTTTAAAAATTGTGAAAATTTTGAAATTTTCAAATGCAAATATAATCGGTTTGAAAAAAAAATTCGAAAATCTGGCACGACAAAATCTAGAGGAACTTCTCACGTTTATTTTGGTGAAAAAATCATGTTTCTACGACTATCGAGAGCTGAGGAAAACTTGAAGTACGAAACCATGTTTTTACGGCCGAATTTCGGTACCATAACGCCCTCTTAAAAACAATTATTTTAAATAACTAGTCGTTCATTAGTCGTAAAAATAACAAATTAACATTTATTGATTACAATGAATTTTTCAAAATATAAATCATTACAGTAATACTTCAATTATAACTAGTTTAATTTATTTCCGTCTTTCAAATTACATGAGTATTTTTTTTTTGCGCCACTCAAAAATAAATAATCATAGAATTTTAACATTTTCACCAAATATTTTTACTATGGTTTCCTTTTTTTTTTTAAATGAAATAAAAATAAAATATTTACTCTTTTTGAGCACCTTATAAAGATGAGAAATTTCCGATTTATTTGAGTTTTTTTCTATAAATGTAAATAAATAATTGTTTGTTGTATTTTGCAATATAATACAAGGTTCCTTATAAGTGGTTATTACATAAAAACAAAGACTAACAATCTTAGTTATTTTGTCGAAATATAAAAATATTTGGTGTGGTTTGTTATACTTGAACTTTTGAAGTATAGTAATAGTGCCTAACCGTGCCTATGTATCTTTAATATTTTCAACTTTGGTTATAACAACTTATGAGAAACCTTGTAATACATTTTCAAGTTTGCATAACAAATTTTGTAACTGATTTCATAATTTTCCTTTATATATTCAGAGCCACAATACTAAGGTAGGTATAGATGATACACCGCAAGAACGACCACACATGACATGTTCTACAACGATACAGTACAACTACGATAATATTAGGCCGTCTAATATTTTATCTTAAACGTTACAAAAAAAAAATTATGATTAAAATCTTGTTGAACAGTATAATGCAGTAAAACCTGCCTTGTGCGAAATTGCAAGAGACCAATAAAAATTTCCGATTTAGGCAGGTTTCCATACAACTGAATAAAAAGGAAAATTCCGTAATATAGAGTTATAATATTCCGCACGATTAAGGTTGTAACATTTTCCGGCCAATAATAAAAAATATCATAGGCCTAAACATCTTTGAAGACATTTGAGAGCAAATACAACGATAAGAAACGACAGGTAAACTACGACTACGGTGACAATAATAAGCACTGATGTGTAAACAGGTGCGGATCCAAGGGGAGGGGGGGGGGGCAAGGGGCCATGCCCCCCCTTAGACTCTGGTGAATTGTCTATTATATCTATTTTCGGCAGCCGATAAAATGCATTGTTTCGCCGATAGCGTTTCGGCCGTATCCGTTTTTTAATTTTATTTAAAATGCCCCCCCCCCCTTAAATATGTTCTAGACCCCTGTCTTATCAAGGGTTTCGGATAAGACAGGTTTCACTGTATTTACATACAGTGGCGTAAATATATTATGGCACGATATTTTTTTTTATAGAAAACGGCCTTATAGTTTTTTGCATCTAGGCCAAATTTGTTATAACTTATAACTATACTCCACTGATAAAACATTTATAATGATAATGATGAATAACTTGTATAACAAATGGCCATTGAAGGCACAGAAAAGTGATAGTTACTTAGTGTTGGACTTGAGATTTAAAATATTAAGAACATTCGAGCAAGTCAGGTGAGGGTGCAACAACTATAAACAAAAACAAGTTGCCCGTCGACCGTAAAATTGTTTATATTTATAAAATTGACCAGACGTTTCGGGCCACTTCGACGACCATTATCGCACAGTTTATTTTAATAATGCAATATGAATGTCGTTCAAACAAAAAATTACCATAACAATACAAATATTTGATTGCGATTAATGATATTATTTTATAAAAATATAAAAACCATGTTTTTCAAAAATTATTTTAGTTACATAAACAACAGTTACTGTCAATGATTATTATCCGTACACGTGTGCGATGTGCTTATAATATTATATTGTACGATTATAATATTATTGTTGTCTTGATAGAAATCAATATTCATACGAAAGCATAAATTCGATTCTGTCAATCTAAATGCAAAAAAAGTTTTGACACAATAACCATACATCATTATTCATTATTGTTTTGCCTCGCTCTTGATGCGGTCCGTCTCCACTTCCAAGGTGTGACTCCAATAAAAAAACGGAAAATGTCAAACAATGTGTCGATGTGGCCATTGGCACGATTTTAATATATTATTAATGCGCTTAAGTGGACGTGTACTATTTGTTTTTTTGTCTCTGCTCTACCATCGACATAGACAAATTAAACGCATTCGCGCAAAAACGTTTCTAATGCTTTTGAGTAATCTCGGAGTAAAAAATCACTCATTATAAAAATAGTAGAAAATTATATTGTTGAGGCATATGATGACACATTTCGATTTGTCTAAATATCGTCTCAAAAAGTCAAAACAATTTAATATTCATTTAAATTTACAAAAGTTGGTTTTTTTTATTTTTAAAGTCAAACTATTATAATTTTGATAAGTCAAACATTCAAAATGATCATCCTCCGCAATTTATGTGAATACGTGATTTTACTCTAGCAAAATAAGAAAAACCCGATTTTGCGTGAATGCGTTTTATCTGTATTATTACTCGTAGGTGTGAGGAAGAAAACAAAATTGCTCTGATACCTTTTTAATCGTTCAAAGTGAACGATAAAAAATTCAGGCCGACAACAATATATAATTTTGCTCTTAAAGTCTTAACATCGATTTCAAACGACATGTCACGGATGACATAAACCTAAACTTAAACGACATCGCTGGAGACGAATGACACATATTCTTCACACAATATTTTGTAGTTCGTGTAATCGGACGTTATATTTTTGTAGGTTTCTCATAGCCAACGGTAATAAAATCAACAATTATAAAACATTTGATAAGATAAATGTATTATTTTTAAATTTTTAACCAAAAATGCGAACTTGAATTTGTATCGAACTACCCATATTATGTTACTCGACGAGTATAATACTCAAACAAAGTGTTATTTCAAGCACTCTCGACCCATTTTTATGCTTAAATTATGCATTTATTAAAATTCTAGGTTTTGGAACTTTTAAGTGTACTTAAAAGTTCAGAGACCATATTTCAAAATACTTTTTAACGGCATTTAGGGGCTTTAATCCGGACGTTAAAAAATACCCCTCACCGACGTCTACCGTTAGTCGTATTACAACCGAGAAAACCATCACAGCAATTTATTACCAATGTCCAACATAATATAGACAGGTAGTGGGAACATTTACTATTCATTATGGTTAAAGATTTTTGCGAACACCGATGCAATAGTAATATTGCAATATAATTCGGGAAAATTCAAAATAAATGTATTAATCGGAAAACTGTTCGAGAATGACCGCAATACTAATATCCATTTTAATACCCAATATATTTATGAACAATATAATGCTTAGTTACTTAAAAAAATGTTTAATCGAATGGGCCACCATGAATCATGTTTCAGAGACCTTATTAACACACGTCTTATACTCACCACTGTCGATTAGTAAAATGTTTAGTGATTGTTCATGCGACTCGATCATAATATTACGTGTACTAGATTTGCTGACCGTTGGCTTACTTTTATCTGCACATTATACCTGATGGTTAGATGCTCCAGAGTAGACATAGTAGTATTCAGAATTTTCGCGACACCGCGTTAAAGACTAATTTAATTTTCACAACTTACCCAAACAATATTATCCTCAGTACGTTATTGGAAGTTAAAAAAAAAACAAATTGCTATATTACTATAATAACTATATTAAACGGAAAAAATAAACACAGTTATTTACTCGATTTCAAACATTGGTGTTTTTTTTTTTTTTTAATTAACAGATGAGCAAATCTACAGGAGTGACTTGCAGAGGGGTTGTCGTGTTTCTCGAGTACGCGAACTAATGGCGCTCGTGATACTGCCCGCTATCTTATTCGCCTTTAGTGCCAAAAATGTCAAATGACATGTTTTCGATGTTGCGCCGTCGTAACGAGGGGGCCTTTAATAAAAATGCACATCATAGTGTATTAGTGCATACATTATTAGTGATGTAGTAATTAACGTCGGTTTTAAACGATGACTCGCCGTCGAAAATAGCAGCAGTCATAGTGCAGTTTTTGTTCAGCCGATACAATACACGGTTTCATTATGGCGAGCAAAATTAATTATGTTGTAGTGAAAAATAAAATTAAAGAATAATAACATTTGGGCCGTTGAATGCATTTTCAGACAAACAATCATATTGATTTAAAAGTTTCATTAACAATATATCTATATTTAATAGACATTTAGCAGTTTAGGTACCTACCATATTAATATGTTATTTTAAATGCTTGAGTAATGCGAGTATTCACATAATATACGTATAATATATAATATATAGGAATATAATGTAATATATATAATATATAATTTTTATAATTTATTGGGAGGTTTTTTTTTTAATTCATCATTTCTGTTTTTTACTTAATTTTGATATGTGTACTTCATGTTACAATATTATTCATTAGTATGTATAGAATATGCGTTTTTCACAAATGCAAAAGGATCAATACTCTCACAAAATTTCTCATTTATGTATTATGTATCGTTAATGGGTATCAATATTCTTCCATGTACATAAATACATAATATTATACAATGGTAAAGTATAGTAAAATTGGTTGTCAGTAAACCAAGAATCATCAGATTTTATATTGTTTTAAACAATTGTAGCCGTTATTGTGCTATAAAATGTATAACATTTTTATTATTAATAACAAGTTTTTAAGTTTAACGAACCTTCTCGAGAATTATTTGAAAAGAGGAAGGGGTGTTCTTTAAAGTATACTAAGTGTGCGTATACTTACCCTAGTGCGTACGAATCAGATCTTGCACTTGGCCTCAATCGTAATTTTATTAATCAGGCACTGTTTTATGATGAGTTGTTGAAATTAATTAATTATTCCCTTCTCCAACATTATATTATTATTCAGTGTTCCTAGTACCTACTAGATTTACATTCACCCGTAACAATATTTATTTTAAGTATCTAGTCGTCCATTAGTCGTGAAAATAATATATATAACATTAATTATTGATTAAAATGATTTTTCAAAATAAACTTTTAACCATTTGGTCTTCACCATATAAATCATTACAGTTATACTGCAATTATAACTAGTTATAGTATACTAGTTAAGTATTTTTATTTATTTCCATCTTGATGTCATCAAGATGACTAAACAAACTTAGTACATTAATCCAAAAAGTAAAAATAGTTATTTTTGAAGACCCCTTATGATAAAAAATATACATTGTAATATCACAGATTAAATAATTTTATTATTATTTTATTTATTATTTTATTTTATTTTATTTATTTTTTATATTTATTTATTTTTATTTATTTAATCTGTGGTAATATTGTATAATGTATATCTTCATGTATACATTTATACAGCGATCAAATATTAAAATTGCAATTTTACCAGTAAGTATTTAATAGAACCTGCATTCTTGAATTTTCAATTTCTGGACCTAAATGTGACAAACAAATGTTGTAGCTACACATCTACTTATCTTGCCATCAGTGTAATAAATAATAATAAACAAGAAACTACACCTAAATACGTCTTATTTGTATTTAAACATTAAGAAGTATACTACGGTGTACGCTACTGCTTAAACCATGTTGAAGAATATCGTTCAGAAATAAAAAGGGAAAAATGCTCCAAATAAAATATAATACAAATTCATGATATAATTATTGATTTATTTTTGATCAAAATAAAAAAACGTTTACAAATCCATTGTATGTACCTCATTTTTGTTGAGCATAATTTTGATTATTCGGATTCTTTTGGTTGGCGTGGTTGTTAAGATTTGCTTTATCCTGGGATCCTGGATATGCAGCAGGATGACCCTGGCCTGTTGGCAAATGATTAGGATTGCATTGATTGGTTCGGTTGGATGATTGATGGTTGGCTTGTTGATTGTTGATGTTTTGGCGATCCATCTCTGAAACAGATAAAAAATCATTATTTGTAATAATGTAGGTATATAAAATTATTTTAGTGTCAAGTAAAAAAGAATAAACAATAAAAAATTCATTACAAAATATTACACAACCAATGGCTTAATAAAATGTGATTTAATAAGCCGTATTTGTATATACAGGTACAGTATGTGAATGATAATATTTAAACATACTATAAAGACGAAATTAGTTATGCCATATTTTCAAATCTACAACCGTTGATTGAAATTTGAAATATTAAATTTAATCTCTTCGGTATAATATAAAATTAAAAACGTACAAACTATTTTAAAAGTAAAATAATTTAAAATCTTCTTTAAATTAAGTCGTCAAAATCAAAATTATGATTAGTTATGTCAAATTCCACACATGGCATGAAAAAGGAAATTTTCTATTTCATATGGTAAAAATCTTAAATTGTTTTAAAAACACAAACACTATTTTGATTTAATTTGGTCGACTCTATGTGGTCCAAACATAATATAATATTTTAATAATCCAAACATTCCAAACAATTAAAAACAACTAGTAACCAACATCAAAAATTATTAAGTGTTATTGCAACGACTTACTTGTAAGAGTTTTGAAAATTTGTTTTCGAAGTTAAACTGAAGACAATTTTAACGAAACGTTAAAGATGACGAACTGTGCAGTGGCAACAAAATATTGACATATGACAATGACAATTGACAAGCGAGCAGTCGCTGCTCCCCTATTTATATCAAACCAATTTCCCCCACTCTGAAAACAGTATTTTGACTGTTTACAATTTGAAAAGAATTATCAATCATTTTAAATAATATTTTATTATGTTATTAAAACGTGAAGGGATTTCTATGGAGTTATATTCGTCCGATTTGTATGATTTTATTTTTAAACAAAAGTGTTCGATGTAAGCCAAAAACCGTAAAAAAAAAAATGAATTATAATAATATTTATCAGATTTTTTTTATAATGTTTAGGAAAAAATGTCGAGCGTATTATCGCAAGACGCTAAAATATGCTGAAAAAAATAAGTAGAAAAATAATGTTAAGTATATAATTTAAAAATAATATTATCTTTATTGTTTGTCACATAACGCAAATTTATACATATAAGTATTTACTATACAACTTTACATGATAATATACTCAGTTTCGTAGACAAATATTAAATAACGACTCGTTCTGCTTTGCATAATGAGCAATTGAATGAGGACTTGGTGGTGGACGAAAACAAAAGTTAAAAACTTTGAATACTTACAAAATATGACAGACGACCGTCGATAATAATTTGAATCTAGACAACTTAATATTCCATAAAAATCATGTCTAGTAATAATATATATTGGTGTAGTATACACCAAAATTGGCAAAATTAAATTAATAAATTAACCCAAAATACGACTATTCTATTTTCGAGTTTTTTTTCTCCATTCTTCCATAACTCCGCATTTCAGGCATTGTAATAAATCTGATTTTGTTTACACAGACACATAAATATCTTGGTCTGTTATTTACGATGTTCTCTCACTCATATCAAACTGTCATATTAGGCTACTTGTTATGGTTTGGCTATTTATGTAATTGTAGGAATAACAAAAAATAAAATGAAAAATAAATTTATAATTTTGATATAGACTATACAGAATTGTAACGAAAACAGACCATGAAGATGGACAAGACACTTTGAATATTAATAATATAATAACTTAATGAATACTTTTTCGTGGTCGATTAGAAGTCGGTTAATTTGTTCTACAGCAATGATGACTCAAATATACTTGTGAAAATTGTATGAACGACTGGAATAAAAATCTCCACTACCTACTGATGCAATAAGACTAAGACTAATAACTAAGAACAATACCGTAATATTTTTTCCTATGAAACCATAATGTGTAAATAATAATAATAATAATATTTATACTTTATATTATTAATACATTGTAAGACAAATATTTTCAGCACGAATATTCGTAGGTGTTATAGATCATTACAAGCGTTCAGTTAACGAAAGATTTAAATTAAATCATTTACAAATAATGACGAATACAAACAAATTAACGTTCCTCGAGACTCAGATCATTATAATATCACAACCACACATGGACACGGCGCAATAATAATTAATAATATGAATAAATCAATAATCGTCCAATATTATACAAAGACAGACAATTAATATTACATGGAAAACACGTGCATATTCAGATATTGGGCAACAAAAGTGAGGACTCATTCTGTCATTATGACTGTCATTCTCAATCTCAATTGTTATTGCCGTATTGTTGTTTCACGGCAGCGGAATGTTAATTTCTTGGTATTCATTAATATTGTGAAATAATTTGATTGGCGTTTGATTTATATCACCGAAATAAACTAGTATTAGAATTATTAATTTATTGTCCTACAGTTTTTTTAATATTATAAAGTATATTATTTACATATTATTACAAAACTATGGGTATTTTTTTCCATTCAGATTTCCTTGCGTACAATTGTATAGTGCATTAGTACAACACAATCGTAAATTGAGACATATTTTTAGAATTTTAATAAATGTTGACAAAAAATACACATAAAAAAGGAAGTATCGGTATTAGCTTAATTAAATCTTGTAACGTTAGGCCCAAAACTGTGATTAACAGTTTACATATCACAGAATACAGATGATTAAACAAAGATTGCATTTATAATTTAAAATGTAAACGATTATCTTGAAAATCTTGAATTTTAATTTAAATCTTAGACGTAGAGAGTAGACATTTTAAACATTGGTAATAATAATATTAGCAAATACGAAAATTGTTTTGGAAATGCTCGGAGAGAAAATCTAATTATTGCCAAAAAAGTAGGACTAATAATACTTATATAGACGATAAATAATTTAAAAGCATGGTTCAACGATGAAAAATGTCAATCACGAAATACTAAAAAAAATCTCGTTCGTCTCAAACACAGAACTTGTTAAGTTTCGTATGGAAATAATGATGTTTTTACATTTTTTTAACTGGGCAGTTAAAAAAAGACAAAATGCAATACCATTAACACCCTATAACAGTTTTTACATTGTTGATTTGGTTTTGTTTCGCGTCGAGTGCGATTCGATGCGCCTGCCAACGATGTATAAATTAATTTAGACTCCTCGAACAGACGTTTTGGAAAACCGAGTTGATCTAGTCAATATTTTCAGAGACTGAGAATCTGATTTTACATAAGTATTTTTTTGATAATTTAGACGTTTTACTTTTTCTTTTCTGCCTAAAATATTTTCTTTAAGCCCATGTTGAACCGCTATTTACACAACTTAAAAGTTAAGACTATAGAAAAAATTATTAATTAACTCGCTCCAAGTTAGTTGTATCGATCTAGTGACGTCACATAATCTGTTAGGCACTTTTGCTTACGAGAAATTACCAAAAAAAGTGTCAACGGTTGATCATTTTTAAATTACAAAAAAAAAGACGAAATTGGTTTAATCAACCATCATGTATTAAGTATTTAGATGTTAAATATTTATAACAAGTGTATAATGATAATAATTAAGAAACTACGTATATTATAATATAAGCAATTAGAAATTTCAATAACATCAATATTAACAAAAAAATAAAAATTGATGTTCACATGTTTGGACATTTACGATCACCCGTTCTCCGTCAGAAGTCGGGGCGACACAATTTTTTGTTCATCAGGTCGGCCGCCCGTTCAGATTTGGCACATTCGCCGCTCACGCTTAATTAACATTTAGCTATAGAGTATATTAATTAGGCTTTTTCTTAACAGAGTGATGATTTATGGGGTGTATTGATTAATGTTTATAAGTCTTATCTACACATTGTATTATTCCAAATAATTTGTAAAAAGTAAAATGTAAAAACATAAGAAATTATATTGAATATCGTTCGATTTTTACAGTCGTTGTTAATACAGTACACTCCGCTTAATGGAGACGTCGGTTAATTAGGAAGCTTAATCTGGACAATTCTTCAATTACCAAAATAAACTTATGATTGTAGTGCGAAATATGTTCACCAATTATCTGGGCCACGAAACCACATTGTTGTTATTTGGACATTTGGATATTTGGGACATTTGTTCTACAGCTTCATTAAATGATTTTGAACAACTATTGAGACTGCATTTGTCAACAATCGTTTGAAAAGTAATAAACAAAGAACTATTGATCACTTTTTTGTTTCCAAAAATTAAATATTATATCCTTATTTTATAAATAAGTTGATATGTATTTCTTTTTGCACTAAAAATTATTATTATGTTATAAAAATATTCTTCGATAATACCTAATTGATTATGTCTCAATAAATCAGTAATTATAACCACCAACAAATGTCTACGGATTCCTGGACTGCGGAATAACTGGTAATGAAAGAGCGGACATACTTCCCAAGGAAAAAGCCAATAACTCACATCAACTAACCCTGTGGAATATAAATCTGATAAAGATATAAAAAAAAATTATCAACAACGAATTAAAAATAATCGGCAAAACGAATGGCTAAAGATGAACACTAAATTAAACGAAATAAAAAGAACAACAGAAAAATAGAACAAGTAATAATAATCCAATGTCTCTCGTGTTATAATATATGTGTAGACATCAGACAAATCGTTGTATATGTTATCGATTTTAGTTGAAAGTATTCAGAAATTAATTACACATTTTAATAGGTATAGAAGTAATAATATTTTGTATTGTATGAATGCCATGTGTTGAATTTGTTGAGAAAAAAAATCCCACACAGACCTTTCTGGCTTATACGTTATAAATTAAAATAATATTTTATTATTATTATTATTATTATACGCTATAATAATGCAGTAGAATTGTAAAAATAGAAGCATTAAAAACTCTATAGTATTTTAGGAACTACAAATGTTTCTGTATTAGAATTTTTAGAATAATGGAAATCCACAGACAACGATTTATAATCATTTTTTATTTAGTGACTTATTTTTATGAGGATAGTTGACAATATTATATTATTATTTATTATGTGTTATGTTTGGGGAACTACCCTGTTGTTGATAAAACAGTTATTCCTGGCAGTCTATAGCCCATTACTACGAGGCACAATAATATGGTAAAAAATACTAAAAATAAAATTAATTTCATCTATACTTGTACAAAAAAAAAACATAAACTATGTATACAATATGATAGTCATCGATAAGATTATTTTAAGTACAAGGTTTTCAACAAAGGAAAAACAGATTACACGAACAATTAATTTGCTTATATTATGTCTAAATTAGCTGATATTTTCAAGAATACGGACAGAATAATATTATATTAGTATAATATAAGATAATTTATTATAGATATGATTGTTATTATTCATTAGCCACAAAAAAAACATTTGTGGATTGGCACAAAAGGTATGAGTTGAGCTTTGGGAAACGAATTTTTAATAATGCAATAATAATATTACAAAATATATTTTAAGATCCTAATATAACAGATTATTTACAGATTTTTTTAATTTCCTAGAAGGTTTCTTCGAGGGTCTCTTCATTCTGTGGGTAATGACTTATGAGTCATATCATTTTCTTCCAAGCACATCATCACATTTGACACATTGTTTGACATATTATTCGTGACCCAAATTGAGCATGAAGAAAATTTTAAATTTTAAAAAAAGGAAACTATTTATCTGTTGCATAATGTTTTGGTTTTTTGTTTAGTACAACACTTTTTT